AACTAAATCAGTGTTCCATACAATTAATAAATGTATTTTTTTTCCTTTGCATTAACATATTAGAGAGTAAAAATATTTTGTTTTATTTATTTATCAGATTATCCATGAAAAAGAATAATAATAAAATAACCTTAGCTTCACCTTTACAATAGTCTCACAGCCTGACCTGCCATTATTCTGAGTCCCCTCTTCTTTGTGCCAGCTGCTGCATTCGTTCAGAGCAAAGGAGAGTACTTAAGAGAAGTTTCTCCAGCTGAAAATAAGTTGATGTAAACAGGACTCAAGTGCATTCCAAAGTATGTTAAATTGTTGAACTGAAAATGTTGTGTGTTGTGGGACCTTCAGATTTGCAGTTTAGGTTCTAGCTTTTCGATTCTGCGTTGATTATAAACTCTAAAGTTGTTTGGACAGATATTCACCCACATTATAAATTTCATGTCGACACTTTGATCGTTTTACAGCTTAAAAAAACATTTATTATGGATAAAAACTAAAAAACACATAGCCTTGCTTTTAGAGGTTTAATTGGCACCAAGAGAAGTGTTTTGAAGTAAATGTCTGATCAGAGCAGAGTCTAATTCATCCTTTCAGAGTTTTAAAATGTTATTTATAAAAACTCTGAAATGAGAGTTTCGGCCCTCATGGCTGTTTTCACAGTAAAATGTTGAAACTTACCTTTGCTCTCACATTTTGCTTTTACCTGTTTTTCTCAGCTTTTTCCTTCTCCAGACCTCTTCTACCTTCATTTTGCTCCCCATATTGAGTACTTGACTCCCCTTTTGTTCCTCGTCTGTTAACACTATAACGTCCAGGATCCTGACTGGGTTTGTATTATCTGTTCTTGTTTCAGGGTGCTGTGATCACCCCAGCGGCGGCCATCGAGCCCAGTTTGACTCTTCATCCCTCCAGTGTAATGGCTCCTCTCACCCAGCAGATGAACCACCTCTCTCTGGGTCCCACAGGCGCTGTGAGTCTCCCCTTCACATTCCTCGATTTTATCATAGTGAAAAAAATATCGTAACGATACACAACCAGAAATGTTGTGGTAAACACATTAACTGGTAATGTGTGGGTTTGCTTTCATCCTAGGGAGTACCTTCAATCTAAAGCCTCACTCTGACATAATTCTTGCTCCTACATTGCGTGACATTTTCTGTCTCTGCAGTACATCTCTGCTGCAGCGGCTGCTCCTATGCAAGGAACCTACATTCCCCAGTACACTGCAGTGCCTGCCTCTGCCATCACAGTAGATGTAAGAACAAAAACACGTTTGGTGACATTTGTCAGCCACCTCAGAGGGATTTTTAGAAAGAGGCAAATGTCAAACTGCATGTTTGTAAATTTGACTTGGTGAGGTGATTCCACCTTGTAGTCTTCTTCAGGAAACTTGTCAGATGAATTGAAAATTTCTTCATTCAGTTACATTCCAGAGAAAGAGCAGTTCAGATTTTTTTATTGTGGGACAGGAAACAGAATTTAAAAAAAAATAAGTGTACAGTTGTAAAGTAAAATCAAAGTTAATAATTACTATTGTGTTTTCCAGGCAGACCAGTTACCAGTAACTAAGGAGCACATCATTATTTTGTCTCTTTATGACACTTCCTTCAACTTCTGTGATCATGTGACTTACAACAAAGGCTTATTCTCAGTTTTACAAAAATATAAAAT